GGAGCCGAGCCCTTCTCCGAGTAATGGTGATTCTGAAGGCTCCGACACGGTGTCAACGGCGCCTAGTTCTTTGGGGGAGGTGGACCTGTGCAGCGGTTGTATATGTGAACATGGTAACCTCAGCTGTGCACGGCCAACACCGACCACGCGAGTGCTTCGGTCTCGCCGACTCATTGAGAGGGCTATTGAGCAATCTAATGGTCTGTCGACTAGGGCTGCCGACGCTCGTGCCGAAGCTACGGATGGATATGTGGATCCCGGGGGATGCCCAGGTGTGCCCTGTGTGTCACGGTAAGGGGCCAAAGACGAGGGCTGGCCCTGTTGAGAAGCTGAACGCCGAGTCGTTGGACTTGATGGGCGCGACTACCGGTCTTGGTGGAGGTGGCTCGAGAGAGGTCTATGGCTTGCCTTCGACGCCAGAGTTTGCCGAGGACGGTTTGCCTTTCCCTGTGTTCGACGCTGTCGATTTGGAGGTCCGGTCGAAGGACTGGGGCGGGTCGGTGAGCAGAGGGGTCCGCTTGGGCACGCTGCGGGATGTACGTCCGAACACCAGCGGGTATGATATGAGGTTGCAGATTATGGCTTTGGGGATGGTGCCGAAAAACGTTAAGGTTAAGTTGGTGTTGCAGGTCTGTAAGGAGACTGACTCGGCCCCTGAGGAGAGGGAACTTGCTGATGATACTAGATTTGGTTACCTTTGTCGCCACCCCAAGATTGCAAAGTTATGGGTGTGTAAGAGCGAGATCGATACTGCTACTGCCAGCCCAACGCCGACAAGCCCTCCGGGGCCGCCTAAGGGGAAAAGGGCAGCGCCGTCGGGCTCGACAGCGGCTGAGCGACGAAAGCGACGGAACCAGCGAGCGGAGGGTGGCCTTGTTGGCAGTATCTTCCATGAAGCATTGTCTTGAACTACAGGCGGCTGATGAAGATCATCCGTATCAGAGTAGAGTAAGAAGCGGTGAATTGGAGGCCTCTGTAGGATAGTTGGAGTAGAGCAGGTCCGAGGAGGAGGAGGAGACCCAGAAAGGCCCGGCCTAGACTGTTGTCGGCGTATCTAGTATGATAGTCGTTGTGTTGTGATAGAAATACTTGACCATTCTGGTGGTGGTTGTTGGCATCATAGTATTTACTGTAATCCTCTGAGGAGTTGAGCTCTTATTAATTCGGTCATCCGCTCGGGGAATATACATCTCAGCTCTTGCAGCGAGGAGGTAGCGGTGTTGCGTTTCAGGCATCCTAGGAGAGCTGCCGTTCGCAGATGTTGTGGTTACAATGGCTGGTCCAAACGCAACTTCTTTGAGATTTAAGTCTTATCCTGAAGCGCCGCCTAAGGAGGACGAGTTGGAGAGTCTGTTGCCCTATTATAACGTCCCGAAGTGTGAGGGAAGGGGGAGGGGGGCGAGGGGACGATGTTGGTTCGCAGGCTATCGGAGTTGAAGTGGGAGGTGACCAGGACGGCACGGCATAAGGAGGATCCTCTTGACTTCATGGTGATGATGGGGGAAGGAATCTTAGGTCGACTTGTCGAAGATACGGAAGAGGTTGACTCAGTGTTGGAATATAAGTTTGCTTTCCTCAGCTGGGCTCGGCAATTTTAGGAGTTTACAGTAGAACCGATAAGAATTCCGTCCGATTCAACATGTGTAGTTTACATGTGCACATTTCCCCCACACTGGGACGACGCGTTGTATGTGGGCTCTCAGACGGCTACCAACAAGAGGGAGGGGATCTG